GATGTTCCAAGGTAAATCCTACTCTGATGCCGATTTAGCAAATTTGCTCAACGACAAGTTCGTTGCTGTAGGGTCCTCCTTACCCAATCTAAACTGGCTCCCCCTTCCCACAAATGACATTCCAGATAATTTCTGCATCTCTGTCGAGGAGACTGAAAAGGCCCTATTATCATCTAAACTTCATTCATCTGCTGGTCCCGATGAAATTCCTTCTTGGCTTCTCCGGGAAAACGCTTCAGTGTTGTGTCGACCTTTGTGTTCTATTTTTAATTCATCAGTTCGTGAACGATTTGTTCCCTCAGTATGGAAGGCAGCAAATATTACACCAGTTCAAAAATCTTCGCCTCCTAAAGATGTTGATTCTGACTTCAGACCAATCTCCCTCACACCAATTATCAGCAAGATTCTTGAATCCTTTCCCTACAAATGGCTACTTGACTCCGTCTCAAAAAAAATTGATTCCTTGCAATTTGGTTCGCTGAAGGGTTCAAGCACTAGTATGGCATTAATCTACATGCTACATGAATGGTTTGAAGCAGCTGACAAACAAGGCAACACTATACGGATTTGTTTACTTGATTTTGCCAAGGCGTTTGATAGATTAGATCATAACATTCTGTTGGAAAAATTGAAAGACATGGAAATTCATCCTGTGTTACTCAACTGGATCGCAAACTTCCTAACAGGCAGACAACAAAGAACCCGTGTTGGTCAGTTCTTTTCTGAGTGGAAGTTTTTAAACGCCGGCGTCCCACAAGGAACGAAGCTTGGCCCGCTATTATTTTTGATCATGATAAATGACCTGGCTGTAGTGGATGAAACTGTTAAATTTGTCGATGATACTAGCCTTTGGGAAATAATATCAAACAATTCCCCTTCCCAGTTACCCGCTAACATCATCAGCTGCTCTGAATGGTCATCAGACAATAATATGAAGTTAAATGTATCAAAGACCAAAGAATTGCGTGTCTGCTTTTCTAACCTTACTCCATCGTTTGCCCCTATTACCATTCGCGGTCAAGAGGTCGACGTCGTTTCCGAGGCCAAACTATTGGGCGTTGTCCTTTCGGACGACCTCAAATGGAACTGCCATATTGACTACATTTGTAAGAAAGCCGCGAAGCGTTTGTACGGTCTGCGCCTTCTTAAAAGAAATGCTTTACCTTCTCATATTCTGATCTCAACCTATTGTACACATATTCGACCAATTGTCGAATATGCTTGTCAGGTGTGGCATTATGGCCTTCCTCATTACCTGAGTGATCAACGGTTGAAAAAATACAAAAAAGGGCGTTAAAAATTATTTTCCCTGGAACTATCTATGCTGAATGTTTGCTTAAAGCTAACTTGACGACTCTTTACGAACGTAGAACTGTCCATTGCAAGCGACTTTTTTCGAAGATGTTGGAACCCACTCATAAACTGAATGCCTTAGTACCGCCTAAAAGTCTTCAAACTTATAATCTGAGGTCTTATCCCAACTTATTAGTACCTAGGTGTAGAACTGAACGTTTTTCGAACAGTTTAATTCCTGCTGCGTCTCGTGCTTATAATAATAAGTAAACTTTAGATTATTATCGTTATTTTTATCTAACTTACCTATTTTTACCTGTAAATATAGAATAGATTAAATACCTATGTTCTTATACCCTGTAATTCCAAAGTAATTCAGTTGTTACTGCTAGTTTGGAAATTTATAATAATAATAATAATAATAAAAGGACAAGACAACTTGATCGCTGATTGTCTTTCAAGGCCATGAACATGCACTTGACGAACACGCTACATTGAAAAGAAAGTGAAGAAACTTTATTTCTTTCAAGGGGGAGGGTGTTACATGATAATGCTTATATCATGTAATTTTACATACTATTATATCATACTATATAGCTTATACTTTATATTCATATTATTAACCGAATAGCTTACATGCATGAGTAAGCAAATAGTTTTAAAGATTAAGATGTCCCACAACTAACGTAGCGGACATGACTCGGTTTGGCGTTGGCCGATTTGTGGTTCAGTACTGAGACTTGCTTCAACGAACTGTATTGCGTAGGGGAAATGAGTCGTAGTTTTGTAGTTTCTTCCCCTATAGCAGAGCGTATAAAAGCCTGAGCACAACTAGACAATTCATGCATTATTCATAAGGCGAAAGCCTGAATAACATCGCCGTGAAGATATATAGAAATTACAAGTTAATAAAGAAAGATTTAAAAGGATTATACGAAGGCGAAGATATATTAAAGATAAAGAATTGTCAGTAATTGAAGAGTTGTACTCAGTCGTGAAAAGAGATAAGTTTGAACAGTTCATTATTATTAAGAATTATATTATATAAGTAAAAGTTATAGAGACGCTAATTATTGAGATTTGAGTAATATATAAGTAAGAAATAAATATATCATTGAAAGTAATTGGTTTCACAATCTTTGTTGCGAGCGAATAGAACCAAAAGCGCGGCCAAATAAAATAGTAAGGACCGGCTCGTAACAATAGGCAATTTAGCATCACCCAACCTGATGACATTGGCCTGTGTTAATTGTTAAACCCAATAGTTATGGTAACATTGTATCAGCAAAAACACTTCAAAGTTCAAACACTGTGTTATAATTCCATTTAATTAAGTTATTATCAAGCATCAATAATTGTGAACATAATTTTTTATGACTCAATTAAATAAATTAAATACATATAACCTATAAATCAAAGGATATACAGCTACAATCTTGGACATAACTGGTTAAGACTATTTTCCCCCTATAGAAAATTCGCGTATTTTTATGATAAACTCCATGTTGAATCATGTTGCCATTCTTAAACCCCCGCTCCCCCAACTCAATGTTGAGCTTGTATCATGGTATATTACCAAAAGTTGTTTCGGCGTTGTTCGCAACATTGAACTGGGGGGAGGGGGGGACAAAGTTTGTTTTGTCAATGTTCAATAACTTTGTAATATTAGCTGAAATGGTCTCAAGGGTTTTGTCCAAGATTGTCTGAAGCACACTGAATTTAATTGTGCATTATAACTCAATCTTTTTTAATTTTCTTCCACTCCAGTAGTCTGAAAGACGGATATACACGTTACTTCTTGTTTTTCGAGCAATATATATATTTGTTTGCATGAAAAGTGAGCAAAATAATGCCTATTCGAACTTGTCACATCCTAAAATATACGCATGAAACGCATGAATTTTTCTTGCTGTTTCATCTAAAATATATAGTTTTATACTGCCAGAAGCAAGTAATATCATGTTACTAAGGCATAGAGGTCGAGACACATGCATTGGGATTTAATTCAATTATGTAAATATCACGTTCAAATGTTGCTGTGTATAGGTATTTTTTATAAGATGACGTCATTTGTTCTATAGTTTATCAGCCTCAAACTTGCTTTTAAAACTTATAATTTAACCAGAAATTTTTTATATGACGGTTAACCAAGTATAATCTTTATCGTGGTTTGATAAAAGAACGGTAAACAGGCCATTAGAACGGTAAGCGGTGACTCCAATTTAAAACAATGACTAGACCTATCATTTACTATAATATCTTGCTGCTATCCCCGTTTACCGTCAATATCACATCAAATCTTTTCGTTAATCGTTTGAAATGTTCTTATATATTATTATAAAAGGTTTATGCTCCAAAAGTCATGGCGATATACTCGCATTTCTTTACTATGGTCAATTTGAACATTGTACAGGCGACTCTTTGTTCCTCGTGGGGGGTCGCCATACTATAATAACCTGTGAAAAGTGCGGATTGCCTATATGAAAATAGCTGTGCAGTGTAGACAACGTTTAGTATGTCCATGATTCCATTTCTTTTTAAACTCTGTAGCTATGTTCTATAGCAGTAGCTAATTGGTTCAAATGGAGCAGGGAACGTTCGCACGTTAAAGTGAATAGCCGTTTTCTGAGCAAACCATGTTATCAAGTTTGACCAATTCGGTTAATTTTAGTGTTGGATATGTTTTTACATTCACTATACGAAGCTTTCAATGATGATATGGAATAAGGTAGAAATCAAATTTACCAAAAGTCCAATAAATAATTTACTTTCATCCAGACGTGTATTATGTCCTCCTAATTAATTTCCCTTTACTTACAATATAAATATAGATTTTGCATCGCCTGGAATGATTGCTAATATGGATAAAAATTTCGGTTAACTACAGTACTTGCAGTGTAACATATATTTAATAATCTTTCCTCCATCGCAACACTAACCTATCTGCCTTTCTAACCATAACTCCCAAACAATTGGTATGCTTGTAAAATTACCACATTCAGACAATCTTGGACATAACTGGTTAAGACTATTTTCCCCCTATAGAAAATTCGCGTATTTTTATGATAAACTCCATGTTGAATCATGTTGCCATTCTTAAACCCCCGCTCCCCCAACTCAATGTTGAGCTTGTATCATGGTATATTACCAAAAGTTGTTTCGGCGTTGTTCGCAACATTGAACTGGAGGGAGGGGGGGGGACAAAGCTTGTTTTGTCAATGTTCAATAACTTTGTAATATTAGCTGAAATGGTCTCAAGGGTTTTGTCCAAGATTGTAGTGAGCTAGAGTAACAGAGGGAAGTTGTAGCTACCGTTTATCAATTTATATTGTTCTCAATCCACATTACGTTATAGTTCAGTGGCGGATTGGGAGCCTGGAACGTAGTAAAAAACCTCGAGGATAAACGGCCATATTGGAATTTTGGAAAGTTTATTGTAAATAAGTTGGAAGTTGTTTTTTCTGTGTGCGTTTCGAACAGTCCGGTTAGTGACCATAATTCAAGTACTTCGAATTGGAATTATGTTTACTTTACTCTACTTTCTTTAACAGTAATATTGCTATTATTGTAATTTGTTTTAATAGAAAACCACACACACTGATACGTATAGTTTTTGGACAATCACATGTAGATAGGAGTCTATATGAAGTTTTCGGACTTTTCTTGTATTGTATTCGTGGATTTACTGGATTAAACTGTGGAGAATTATGTCTGTGCGTTCCTGGCCAGTTCAGGGAGCTGGAAGTGTGGATAAATTGACGTCTATTGATGGCGAAAAGACGGCTACAAGATCTGAGATTGGTGACAGCCGAGCCACCAATAAATATTGTTTCAGAGTTCCGAATAAGGGAAACTATTTGGACGGTGAAAAGTCAGAAAGAGCAAAGGCTTTATATGCTTCTCGAGCAGCATATGTTGGTATTTTAACTAGAATTGGAAGAGAGGTTGAAGCTCATAAGATGTCAAATGGGAAACTTTATGATATAGAGAAGAAATTGGAATCGTATGACAACAAAAACAAAATCCAAAGGAGGCTTGGAAAACAATAAACAACTTACTAGGCAGACAAAACAAACCAACAAAAGTAAATGAGTTGAGCATAAGTGGAAATAATTTAACAAATTCAGAAGACATTGCAGAGGGCTTTAACGAATTCTTTTCAAATATTGAGCCTGACTTAGCTAGCAAAATTGATACTTCGAATCACAATTCTCAAGAGTATATTAATTAAGAAACCTAAATCAGAATTCACTGTATTTGAGTCAATTACCACCAACAAAGTTTATTATCTCCTACGTGGCCTCTCTAGTGCAAAAGCCACTGGCATTCACAAAAATTCAAGTAAAATTTTAAAACTAGCAGCACCTGCTATCTCCAGTTCATTAACTTATATTTTTAATCAGGCTATTACACTATGCACTTCTCCCGATGAATGGAAAATGGCAAGAGTATCACCTCTTTATAAAAATGGCCAAAAAAATTTGCCTGGTAACTACCGACCAATTTCTGTTTTGCCAGCTGTTAGCAAAGTTATGGAAAGAATTTTATATGACCAACTATATGATTATTTGACGAAATTTCAGCTACTTGATGATTGTCAATTTGGCTTTCGCAAATCTCACTCAACTGCTACAGCGTTACTAGACTGTACTAATAGTTGGTATATGAATATTGACAAAAAATTCGCACTCAGAAATGCCAAGTTAATGGAATTATTTCATCGGAGCGGTTGATTAAGTGTAGCGGGCCACAAGGCTCTATTTTAGGGCCATTATTCTTTTTATTATATATTAATGACTTGCCTCAGTGTCTAAGCAAAACAAAACATCGACTGTTTGCTGATGATACAAACCTAACAGCTGCGGGAGAATCTATAAATGATGTTGAAGCTGCAATGATTCTGATTTAGAAAACCTTAGGAAATGGTTAATTGCCAATAAACTAAGTTTAAATGTGGCCAAAACAGAATTTATATTAATTGTATCTAAACCAATGATAAAAAGTATCTCAAATAAACAACCAAACATTATCATAGAAAACAAACCAATTAAACAAGTATATGATTGCAAACTCTTGGAGTGTCTGTTGACCATCATTTGTCTTGGAAGAATAATACTGAAACAATTTGCAAGAAAATAACATCCGGGATATCAGCTCTTCGTCAAATAAAATAATTTGTTGAGAAAGATACACTTGTCTCTGTGTATAATTCTATTGTTCGCCCATACTTTACATATTGCTGTGAAGTATGGGATGTGTTTGGTGAAACACAATCAAAACGCCTCCAAAAGCTCCAAAACAGAGCTGCTCGAATCATAATGAATATGAGCAATGATGTAGATCATCTGGTTGCTTTAGATGCTTTAGACTGGAAGCCACTTAAAACGGAAAGAATAAAGACTAAGTCCAAACTGATGTTTAAATTGTTGAATAAAATGGGTCCTAAATCACTTACTGATTTATTTACTTTCAAAAGTGAAATGACAAATTATAAACTTCGAGATGTGTAAAGTACTCTTTGCTTACCACAGCCGGGTACAAATAGCTTGAAAAAAAGTTTCATGTTTGACGGGGCACACATTTCGAATTCTTTCCAACCGAAATTAGAGAGAGCAACTCCATCATGTCCTTTGAAACTAAAATCGCTACTCCTGCAATTGGCGGATTACAGTCGGATTACAGTCGGGGTGTGCACTGCTCTGATTAAATACCTTATCTCGTCAGCCTAGGCACTCAACTATTTCTTTCAATATTTAAAATCGTTCGTATAAAGTCATATTGTTTCACTATTATTACTCGCTGGGGCACCCTGTGCCCCGGCCGAGTATAGGTTTCGGCTTCAATCTCCAATCTCCAATCTCCGATCGTCGATAGCCACAAAATAGAATATTAATGAGCTGCTTGATCCTTCAAAATGGGACGCTTTCTCGGTATATGAGCAACCGAAATAGGCATACAATACTTCACACATCGCATACCTTAATGTACCTTAGCATACCGTAGCATAACTTAGCCTACCTTAGGGTACCTTAGCCTACCTTAGCCTACCTTAAGGTACCTTAGCCTACCTTAGCCTACCTTAGCCTACCTTAGCCTACCTTAGCCTACCTTAGGGTACCTTAGGGTACCTTAGACTACCTTAGCCTACCTAAGGGTACCTTAGGGTACATTAGCCTACCTTAGCCTACCTTAGACTACCTTAGCCTACCTTAGACTACCTTAGACTACCTTAGCCTACCTTAGGGTACCTTAGGGTACCTTAGATTACCTTAGCCTACCTTAGGGTACCTTAGGGTACCTTAGATTACCTTAGCCTACCTTAGCCTACTTTATACTACCTTAGCCTACCTTAGACTACATCAGACAACCTCAGACTACCTTAGACTACCTTAGCCTACCGTAGACTACCTTAGCCTACCATAGACTACCTCAGACTACCTCAGACTACCTTAGACTACCTTAGCCTACCGTAGACTACCTTAGCCTACCTTAGACTACATTAGCCTACCTTAGGGTACCTTAGACTAACTTAGGGTACCTTAGAGTACCTTAGGGTACCTTAGACTACCTTAGTCTACCTTAGACTACCTTAGGTTACCTTAGACTACCTTAGACTACTTTAGCCTACCTTAGCCTACTTTAGACTACCTCAGACTACCTTAGACTACCTTAGCCTACCTTAGACTACCTTAGGTTACCTTAGACTACCTTAGACTACCTTAGCCTACCTTAGCCTACCTTAGCCTACCTTAGACTACCTTAGACTACCTTAGACTACCTTAGGGTACCTTAGCCTACCTTAGCCTACCTTAGGGTAGCTTAGACTACCTTAGCCTACCTTAGCCTACCTTAGGGTACCTTAGACTACCTTAGCCTACCTTAGTCTACCTTAGCCTACCTTAGACTACCTTAGCGTACCTTAGACTACCTTAGCCTACCTTAGACTACTTTAGGGTATCTTAGACTACCTTAGCCTACCTTAGACTACCTTAGACTACCTTAGACTACCTTAAGGTACCTTAGACTACCTTAGGGTACCTTAGCCTACCTTAGCCTACCTTAGATTACCTTAGCCTACCTTAGACTACCTTAGTGTACCTTAGCCTACCTTGGCCTACCTTAGGGTACCTTAGACTACCTAAGGCTACCTTAGACTACCTTAGGGTACCTTAGACTACCTTAGCCTACCTTAGACTACCTTAGCGTACCTTGGCCTACCTTAGGGTACCTTAGACTACCTAAGCCTACCTTAGACTACCTAAGCCTACCTTAGACTACCTTAGCCTACCTTAGACTACCTTAGGGTACCTTTGACTACCTTAGGGTGCCTTAGGGTACCTTAGACTACCTTAGCCTACCTTAGACTACCTTAGCCTACCTTAGCCTACCTTAGGGTACCTTAGGGTACCTTAGACTACCTTAGCCTACCTTAGGGTACCTTAGGATACCTTAGAATACCTTAGCCTAGCTTAGACTACCTTAGCCTACCTTAGACTACCTTAGGGTATCTTAAACTACCTTAGCCTACCTTAGACTACCTTAGCCTACCTTAGACTACCTTAGGGTACCTTAGGGTACCTTAGACTACCTTAGGGTACCTTAGGGTACCTTAGGCTACCTTAGCCTACCTTAGCCTACCTTAGACTACCTTAGCCTACCTTAGCCTACCTTAGACTACCTTAGCCTACCTTAGACTACCTTAGGGTACCTTAGGGTACCTTAGCCTACCTTTGGGTACCTTAGGGTACCTTAGACTACCTTAGCCTACCTTAGACTACCTTAGCCTACCTTAGCCTACCTTAGGGTACCTTAGACTACCTTAGCCTACCTTAGGGTACTTTATGGTACCTTAGACTACCTTATCCTACCTTAGACTACCTTATGGTACCTTAGACTACCTTATCCTACCTTAGCTACCTTAGCCTACCTTAGACTCCCTTAGACTACCTTAGTCTACCTTAGACTACCTTAGCCTACCTTAGACTACCTTAGGGTACCTTAGACTACCTTAGGGTACCTTAGGGTACCTTAGCCTACCTTAGACTACCTTAGCCAACCTTAGACTACTTTAGGGTACCTTAGCCTACCTTAGCCTACCTTAGGGTACCTTAGCCTACCTTAGGGTACCTTAGCCTACCTTAGGGTACCTTAGACTACCTTGGGGTACCTTAGGGAACCTTAGGCTACCTTAGCCAGCCTTAGGGTACCTTAGACTACCTTAGACTACCTTAGACTTCCGTAGACTACCTTAGACTACCTTAGTTTATTACGCAAGTGGTCAATTGACCATCCAAATAATATGAGTTATATTTGACCGCTCACAATTCGAAACAAAATTGAGAGAAAAATTTTGACAAACAAATCTTTTCTTCAAAAGGGAAATCCAGCTTTATTAGACAAATATAATATGTCCATGCAGTTCATTGACTATGAACCTGGCGTGTGTTCATAGTCAATGAACGGCAAAAGTTATCATGATCAGGTAGACTTATAACTAGAAATACATGAATTCAACAACCCCTCGCCTATATTCTCCAAACATTGTTTCAACATAAAGTATTCGTAATTACGCCAACATTGAACGCAGGCTCGCGTTGCTTTGACGTCATGTTGTCCTGGCAACACTATAATTTTTTTAAAACTTTTTTGCGCAAACCTCAAACCTGATTTTGGTTTTGGTTTCTATGTGCTTTATTTTAATGTAAAATTGAAAACGTAACTCTACGGAAAACGTTTTTAAATGTGAATTGAAATTAACTGATTTTTGCCGATCGCGATATTAAACTTGAGCTAACTTGTTACTCACAATTTGATATCAAGTAAATTTAATTCGTACAGAAAGCTAATGAAAATAATTTGCTTTCCTTCTTATGATGAACTTCTACAAAAGTTAATTTAACTATGAAACTTTCGCATACAATCCATAGGAAAGACTTGAACAACAAAAACAAAGTCTATAATATTAATACAAAGTCATACATAAACAATTGAAACACATGACGTGCGCTGATTCGTGATAGACCGCGCGGTGATGGCGTATAAGGGGACTGAAACTGACGTACTATATGGCGGGGCAATTGACCGCGCAGTGATGGCGTATAAAGGGACTGAAACTAACGTACTATATGGCGTGGAAATGGCGTGGAGAGCTGACGCCGCTCCTCACGCGTTGCCCACGAGAAGCTTCACTTTTTAACTGCCAAATGACTGAATGTTATCATTCCAGGTAAATAGATTGAGTTCACTGCTGTAGACATCGCCATTGCGTTCCTTTCCCCGGGTGAAAATATCCGGGGAGAATTATTACCCTCTCGCCCCGGGCTAACGCCCGGGCTTACGTTGGCCCGGGGATTAACACAAATCCCTCATTAATAGCTAAATTTATTTCAAGATAGTCTAAGGTACCATAATGTAGGCTAATGTAGTCTAAGGTAGGCTAAGGTAGTCTAAGGTACCCTAAGGTACCCTAAGGTAGTCTAAAGTACCCTAAGGTAGTCTAAGGTAGGCTAAGGTAGTCTAAGGTAGTCTGAGGTAGTCTAAGGTGGTCTAAGGTAGGCTAAGGTGGTCTAAGGTAGTCTGAGGTAGTCTAAGGTAGGCTAAGGTAGGCTAAGGTGGTCTAAGGTAGTCTAAGGTGGCTAATGTAGTCTAAGGTAGGCTAAGGTAGTCTAAGGTACCCTAAGGTACCCTAAGGTACCCTAAGGTAGTCTAAAGTACCCTAAGGTAGTCTAAGGTAGGCTAAGGTAGTCTAAGGTAGTCTGAGGTAGTCTAAGGTCTAAGGTAGGCTAAGGTGGTCTAAGGTAGTCTGAGGTAGTCTAAGGTAGGCTAAGGTAGGCTAAGGTGGTCTAAGGTAGTCTAAGGTATTCTAAGGTAGCCTAAGGTAGTCTAAGGTTAAGGTAGTCTAAGGTAGGCTAAGGTAGTCTAAGGTAGGCTAAGGTAGTCTAAGGTACCCTAAGGTACCCTAAGGTAGGCTAAGGTAGGCCAAGGTACCCTAAGGTAGTCTAAGGTACCCTAAGGTAGTCTAAGGTAGGCTAAGGTAGTCTAAGGTAGTCTGAGGTAGTCTAAGGTAGGCTAAAGTAGTCTAAGGTAGTCTAAGGTACCTAAGGTAGGCTAAGGTAGTCTAAGGTAGTCTGAGGTAGTCTAAGGTAGACGTAACCTAAGGTAGTCTAAGGTAGGCTAAGGTAGTCTAAGGTAGTCTGAGGTAGTCTAAGGTAGGCTAAAGTAGTCTAAGGTAGTCTAAGGTAACCTAAGGTAGTCTAAGGTACCCTAAGGTGGTCTAAGGTAGGCTAAGGTAGGCCAAGGTACCCTAAGGTAGTCTAAGTTACCCTAAGGTAGTCTACGGTAGGCTAAGGTAGTCTAAGGTAGTCTGTGGTAGTCTAAGGTAGACTAAAGTAGTCAAAGGTAGTCTAAGGTACCCTAAGGTAGTCTAAGGTACCCTAAGGTACTCTAAGGTAGTCTAAGGTAGTCTAAGGTACCCTAAGGTACTCTAAGGTAGTCTAAGGTAGGCTAAGGTAGTCTAAGGTAGTCTGAGGTAGTCTAAGGTAGGCTAAGGTAGGCTAAAGTAGTCTAAGGTAGTCTAAGGTAACCTAAGGTACTCTAAGGTACCCTAAGTTAGTCTAAGGTACCCTAAGGTAGGCTAAGGTAGGCTAAGGTACCCTAAGGTAGGCTAAGGTAGGCTAAGGTAGTCTAAGGTAGTCTAAGGTAGGCTAAGGTAGTCTAAGGTAGTCTAAGGTAGGCTAAGGTAGTCTAAGGTAGTCTAAGGTAGACTAAGGTAGTCTAAGGTACGCTAAGGTACTCTAAGGTACCCTAAGTTAGTCTAAGGTACCCTAAGGTAGTCTAAGGTACCCTAAGGTAGTCTAAGGTACCCTAAGGTAGTCTAAGGTAGGCTAAGGTAGTCTAAGGTAGGCTAACGTAGTCTAAGGTACCATAAGGTACCCTAAGGTAGGCTAAGGTAGGCTAAGGTACCCTAAGGTAGGCTAAGGTAGGCTAAGGTACTCTAAGGTAGGCTAAGGTAGTCTAAGGTACCCTAAGGTAGTCTAAGGTATGCGATGTGTAAAGTATTGTATGCCTATTTCGGTTGCTCATATACCGAGAAAGCGCCGAGAATTATGAATAACATCGACAACACAAAACTGGTACGGTTTAAGATTTTACTACTGAAACGTTTACACTTACCCAAACATAGCGATTAAATCATCAAAAACACCAGGTTCGTGTTCGACAAACTTTATTTTAAACTGTAGGCTTGCTTCAGTTAAAATCGAAACAATTCGAATTTGTTTCTGGAAACACCACGTATATTTATTACTGCAAAGCTTTCGATCCGTAAGACCGGACGGATGTTCGTTTTAAATTAATGATATTATAACAATAATAGTATGCAACACTAATAAGCCCGGATCTTCATCACTGATGAAGATCCGGGCTTATGGATCGAAAGCTTTACAGTAATCAGTAAATTTACGTGGTGTTTTCACAAACAAAATATCATACCATGCATGTAAGCGTACAAAGAACTTAAAATATATCTTGTTTCTAAATCTATCGTTGATCATAATATATTTCTTGTTTTTATTTATCTTATTCAGGGATATATAAAAAAGGTTAATTTGATTAATTTATTTTTAGAACAACATTAATTTAATATTAGAACAACAGACATTTAAAATGTCCGAAACGTTTAGCAAAATTAATAGAAATTAACCTTTTGTATATATCCGGCTTGAAAAATAAAACAAGAATTCAAATAAATTAAGCAAAATATATCTTTGGAAAATGAAAAAATATATATTGCCAGAGCTTGTACTCGCACATGCGCATAAGTTCCAAAACCGCCCATGACATAATGGAGGACAACTCTGCACTTCGCTATGTTCTCACATACCCGGTTGTAAATACCCGAGCGGAATTAATACCCTCGCTCCGGGCTCACTCCCGGAACGGCCCTTTGTGCCGTTGGCTGATCTGAGATAATATTATGTAGGATAATAGTGACTCTATCAGTGATCTCACTGCTGCATCAACTTCTGAATAAGTCAGTGAATATTGCAAACATATCCTAATAAATAGTAAAAGAAGCATTTGAAGCTTCTTGGTCAGCTTATCGTGACTCTCACTTATAAATAGGACCTCCTTCCTCCTTGCGTCAAGTGAAGAAGCATAAGTCGGTAATTATACCCGCGCATGAAGCATTCAAAGATGAAACATGGTAGCCAGGTCACTCTGTGCCATTTTAGCAAGCGCGACAAAATTGAAATCGGCTTTGGTATAGTGAATTGCGTAATAAAAATTACATTTCATAATATCCAATATTCCAGCAAATATCAGAATTTGTAACATTCAAAAACGCACGAAATCCCAAAGAGCTGACATTATATAGTTACCCTGGCCCAGAGTTTTTTTTAGGTTTGGCGAACGCGAAATGCGAGAAAACGCGCGAAGAAAAAGGAAAAACCTCTGGTGAATTTGTTAGCGATTCCTGGTTCGGATAAAGAATGCAAAAAATGTATAATGGCTTAATGCATCATATTCTAAAAATATTATCCAATCATTATCCTTGACGCCAGGCCGTCTAGACAGGGTTTTATCGCATGTTTACTGTCCAGTGTATGCCTGCCCATTTGTAGCAATATTCATTCTCCTGAATTTCATTCAATTTAAAACATCACATCTATTCAATTTAATATAAATATATATTTATATTCATTCACTTTAATCTTGCAATATACATTCAAAAAAATCTGTATTTTATAAATTTATTAAACACACCTCTTTGGGCCGACGTGAACTTTGTCTGTTAATACAAAAGCAAGCAAATTTGTCTTGTAGATTTCAAATGAAACCATTCCTCTCCATTTCGCATTTCGAATAATAGACTCGGGATTACAAAATGCGAATGTAAACTCTCCATCTAGTATTGCTTTCTCGTCCTCTTCGTTTGACAGTGAAGTAACACGGCATCCACGCTTTTTTAGTTCACGGACGTGAGAGTCAATGAAAGAGTTCAATTTGCAAATAACTATTAAGATGGGTTTCTCCAGAAAATTGTGGCTTTTGCCAAGTCGTCGTGCTACTCTCGGTGTTAGAACTTTGGAATATCAAACTCTTCCCATAACCGATAGCAAGATGCAAATACATCTTTAATGTGAATCAAATTGGACAAGGCGCGGTATTGATGCTCCGTTAAACTTTTAATTCAGGAAATTTATCAATCTATCTATTAATGCAGCCTATAAAACTGTTTCTTTCAACTTTTGTTCGTTTATTTAATAATATAGACATTTCAAAATTCAAATATTTCAATTCAATCAAAACACGAAACGCCTGCGAATAGGCTATGATGTTTACAATATCCAATCAGAACACGTAGTCTATCGAACCTATAGTCAGCAGCCAATGAACTCTTTGCTTCCATTTTTGAAAGTTATGTGTGGAATGTGAACCCAAAAACTACGCCAATTTCACCAGAGGGTTATTCAAAACAGGCGAAAATAAATACCCTCTGGTTCCAGGGTATTATATAGTCTGCAGTGAGCCGAATTTTGAAAATCTACACGCTTCATAATAACCGTGAAGCCTCTGGACTAAGGCACATGTATTACTCTTTCTTTAAACCAGGAAGCTGCTGATACTGCTTTACAGGAAGTGAATTTGAGATTGAATGAGCCGTATGTTGCTGTAACTGCAATTAGTAGTCGAGATGGAAGCTTTGGAATGGCAGCCATCAATGCCAATAAGATGCCTTGGGCAAGTATCAGTGATCGTGATAACGATCACGTTATCGTCCTAAGATCGGGCACGCAACCAGGTGTAATTCAAGAAGAGGTCGAGATTGAATGAATCACAATGTATATATATATGCTACGGTATAGTGTAAGTATCAATGTGGCATTTGTAACGTTATATTAATATTTAAATAGTTAATAAGAATTACTCCATATTCGTACTGATTAGTATCGCTACAGTTTAACTCACTACTATGCACTTAAGGCAATGTCAGAAGAAGCACCAAACTCGTACAAAAGCGTGTTGTTCATAAAATGTAAAAAAATGTAATTAGAAACGTAAAGAAATAAATTGCAACAGTATATAGGTGAAGATCAAACAAGCATTCGTGAAAACAAATGACATTATAACTCGCGTTCAGTCGATTGGCATGATGAGGATATTTGAATTTCATGAACAAGATACACATTGACTGTAGAGAGATCTAGAGCACGAGTAATTTACGTGTGTAAAGAAAAGTTGGGAACGATGTACATGTGTTCAAACTTTGTAAACGAAGTAAAAATTTATGATAACCATATGTGTTTCAAAATACTTGTGAATTTTATGTCACTGATGTTAGATATTTAACAATTATTGAATGAGGTTGAGCACAATATTATGAAGAATTATCAAGCCCGATGTTTGTTTGTCGTTATCAACCGAAGCCGAATGCTGAGGTTGATAATGGCAAACTGAGGGCTTGATAATTCTTAATATTGTGCGAAAACCGAATTCAGTAATTGTTTTATTATTTATTTAAAAAATTCAAAACATTTGTATTTTATTTGTTTTCAGAAAAAAACAATTCCTTAGTCCTTCGCCAGCCGTCGTCGTCGTCATATCAATGGCGTCAGCAAGTCAATATGATTTTCGTTGTCATAGTAATATGGCGCGAACGCGTCCAAACGTTTTTCATATTGACTCTTTGATGTCATTTTGCTAATATGAATGTGAAAAACCCAATTTTGGTTAGCCATTGAGTTGATATGACTATTTCACAGTTGACTGTTAGCCAATCAGAAACCAGGAATTTTTTAAATAAATAATAATATTGTTTATTATTTCCGGTCCGTAATCCCAGGTCCATAACATTAATGGAGCCTTCTGATTGGTTGACGAGAGATCATTTTGCACACGTTACCAGGCGTACGGGGCTCATGTTTTCCGGGGCAGGGAGTTGAAAGTTTGCCCGAATTTTTATGGAGGGTTGTAAGGAAATGACCTGAATTTAACTTATTCTCTGATCAATCAGCCCGCATTTCTTCCCTTGCATTTGCCCGAATACCCTTGCATTTACCCTCCCCCCCCCTCCCCCCTGTCTCGTACTCCTATGCATGTGGACCTCTTACGTTTCGCAACAAACCAAACAGAAGCTACTAAGAGTGAAGGCAATTTCGAACTCAATAAAAATAACTGATCCAAAAATTTGAAAAACCCTCTCTAAAGATACTAAAGATACAAAAATAAGCTGAACTTACTTCAATCGATTTAATGTCAAGTCCGAAATATTCTTTATTCCGACCAAATGGCGGAAATATCAAGTGTTTCTTTCACATACCAGTATCTGAAAATCAGTGCTAAATGTTTAGTTTCAAAAGCTCAATAAATATTCAGCTATACTTTGGAACAAATACGTTAAAATACAAATACTGGAACCAAGCCAAGGACTTATCCTCAAACATAAAAAAATTAAAAAATACCTTAATTAAACGGCAGTTTAAGAATGATTTTTAGACTCATTTCAGTCATACATTTCCCATAAATGTTGTCATTGTTGTGTCGAAAGAACACTTTTCTGGAAAGATCATTTTTTTGGATTTGGATTTTTGGATCTTTGATTAAAGTAACGAGCACATCTTAATCTCAAATCTAGTTCGAACAATGGAGTTTTTAGTGCTTGCCGCTTGTCTTCAAAAATCTCGGATTCAGAGAGCGATTCTGACTTTCTGAAGATAATCGTATTGCACTAGTTTTGGTTGCCGAGTGAGGCAAGGAAGGTGTAGGGAAACGTGAGGTGTCAATTATAACAATCTAATCCGCATTAGATGTACAAATAATTATAATGAAAAAACCCAAAAACAAAATAAAGCTATACTTCCGAAAATTTGCTGCTTGAACGCACGCTCAAAGGAAAGGTTGATGAACTTGCAGCATTTATATCCGTCAACAAATTTGTATGGCTACAATTACGGAGTTTTGGTTGACTGATGAGATAGGGGACAATCAGATATCGCGATTGGCGGGTATGTAATTCATCGTAAGGACCGGACGCATGGTCGTGGGGGTGTGCGTTTATGTGTCTTGCAGATACTCATTACGCGATACTTGGAATTAGAAGATTTAAATCTAGAGTGTATGTGGTTGTGGGCTCGACCACCACGCCTACCGAGACCGTTACTGCAATCGCAGTATGTGCAGTGTATAATTCACCGAACAAAAGTGTGCAAGAACAGAGGGAACTTCGCGATTACCTTGTGTCCTCTATTGATACTATACGCTCTAAATACCCTGATTGTGGCATAGTCATTTTAGGCGATTTCATTCGTCTCAATTTCATGATTTAGTTAAGTCACAACCTTAAGCAAGTCGTCACACGTCCGACTAGACAACATTCTATCCTAGACTATATTATTGCGAACTTGAAATATTTTTACAAAACACCGAAGATTTCTGCTCCACTGCGAACATTGGATCATAATGTAATCATGTGCATCCCAAAAGATATTTCTAAGGATAATAATACGAGTACAAAGCGGACTGTGCGTCGGTATCCCAGGTCGGGTTTGAATGGCTTTGGTTTATGGTCAACCAGGAATGGATGGTTTAGTAGAGTTGGACTCACTCCATCGTCGGATCAGTTAGCGTTATCTTTTACCAATGATCTGAACACTGCAAGCGATATTTTTTCCAGTGACCATAAACAGATTTCATCCCATCGAAAAACCATGGATTACTGGGCACATAAAGCAACTTATCAAAGAGCGTCGACGTGCTTTCCAAACCGGCGACGCGCAATTGTGGCGCCAAAATAGAGACAGGGTCCAGATAGAGATTAAAACCAGGAAAAATAACTTCTATATGGAGTCTCTAAATGACTAGTTTGTAAGTGTAGCAAGTAATATCCCACCACTTGATATTTCAAGCCTTCCAACATTCTTATCAGCTGCGGTGCCGCCTCCTAGAGTTCATCTTCACGAGATTAAAGTTTGTAGTAAGGACTCGGACAATATTCCATCACGAATTTCAAAAGAATTCGCCCATGAACTTGCTGGGCCAGTTACATCAATATTTAATAAATCTTTGTCCTCTGGAGTAGTATCCGTTTTATGGAAAGATTGCAGCATCATATCCATTCCGAAAGCGAAACAAACTCAGGTTGAGAGCGATGCTCACACCATCGCACTTATCCTTGTGTTATCGAAAGGACTCGAAGACGTCGTGGTTATTTGGATGGTTGAGGACATAGGCGGAAAAACCGATAATCGTTAGAATGGCAGCCTGAAGGGAACATCTACCACCCTTTGTCTTCTAGATTTTATCCACCACTGGCTTTCTAAAATGGACTACCCGGATCATTATCTTAGAGCTTGCTTTCTTGATTTTAGCAAAGCTTTCGATATAATAGACTACAATATTGTTATAACAAAATGGATCAAATTAGGAGTGCGCCGTTCAATATACAACCCTTTCGATTGGTAGCTTTCTTTCAAATCGCCGCCAGTGTGTTAAGCTGGGACAGTGCGTGTCTCGATGGCTTCCAACTAGTGCTGAAGTCCCACAGTATACCAAATTGGGTCCAATCCTTATTGTCATAATGATTAATGATTTGAAAATAGCATCCCCACGTTCCAGTAATGGGAAGTACGTAGACGACCTGACGATATCTGAGATTGTTCCAACAAGAGAGGTATCTATACTACAAAACAAATTGGACACAATTGGTGATTGGACATGTACCAATAATATGAAATTGAACCTCCAAAAGTGTAAAGAGATGATCGTCTCCTTTCGACGAGATATTGAACGGCCTCCACCGATCTTAGTTGTTGAAAACAGTGGTCTTGAAAGCATAGAATCCCACAAAGTATTAGGTTTAACGATCCAGAATAATCTGAAGTGGGATTTGGATATCATTGAGATAGTAACCAAAGCATCAAAGAGATTACACATCTTACGAGTTCTCAAGCGCAGTTGAGTTTCATCCTTTCATTTGCTACGAGTATATTTTGCACTTATTAGAACCCTACTCGAATACTGTTGTCCGGTATGGCATTCATCATTGACCATCAACTTGTCAGATAAAATTGAACGGGTCCAGAAGCGCACAATGGGAATAATCTGTCCCACATTAAGCTATGACGCAGCTCTAGCTAGACCAAGCCAAATGTTCGATATTTAATACGCGGAAGACGTGATGCTTTGTGTGCAAAAACGTTTGACACAATGAGATTCACGCCTTAATCATTCAATACCACCGTTTCGAGCCAATGAACACAATTGCAATTTAAGGTACGGAAATAAACACTGTTTCCTTGTAAGACGGGGCGCTTTAAGAAAAGCTTTTTTCCTGCAATGTGTCTTCGATCGCATAATTTGTAAATTTCGTAAATATAGAAGTACATTTATCTTTCTATATTAATTCATACATTCGTAAAACAATTGTTGTAACATAATGCATGTAATAAAGGGTTATTAACCGAGAGCGAGGTCTGTACGGGAAAGTATTTGCCTGAGGTTTTCGTACACACCGAGCGACGAAGGATCGAGGTCTGTGCGGATAAACCGAAGGCAAATACTTTCCGTACAGACCAAGCAAAACGAGGTTAAATTAATAAACCATTCATTATATGGCTCCTTAATTAGACACATTTTCTGATTTTCATATATTTGTTTGAGCACTATAAAGGTATTTTTGAGCTATGTTTTATTTGCTAGTTTTCCTCCTTTAGATTTGGTTTCGTCACCGAATATTGTTTATGGAAAAGCATGTTTAACAATCGCTTTAGAACTACTTTTTCGGTAACCTCCACCCCCAGAAAAATTGCTCATAAACCCAGTTTATATGATATTTGTTTAGAATATGGTATTAAAGACGTTAAATTCATCTTTATTTTATTTTTTGAAACAATTAAACAAATAAAAATATTTTCCCGCCAAAACTGACAGTTGCCAGTAAGAGTTCAAACGGCTTGTTTTCTTAGCTTTTTCGATGAAATTTGTGTTGGTACAAGTACTTATTAATATTTCCAAGACTTCTTATTCTTAAAAATGATCATAACGACCTTATAAACGTTTAAAAACGTTTCACTGAAATTCGAGCCTGTCAAATTTACATACGGGAAACCGGTCCGGATACGGGAAAATAAGGACCACGGTCCGGATACGCATTTTACGGACCGCACGTCGACCAATCCGAATCCAGGATTCTGGAAAGTCATATAATAATACAAGGTACATTTTAATATTGATAGTGTCTATTAAGCAAATGTTGTAAATAACTTCGAAATTCGCTTTCGAGCGCGACGATTTTATAATAAACCCTTGATTGATTGATTGAAAGAAGAAAGATTAATTTTCCTTGTCGAGACGAAACGTTGTTCTGCACTGATAAAGTCTTTGTGGGACTGTTTAAAGCGTCATGTAAAAATAAAACAGAATATGCGATCAACCATGCGAAATCAGGCATGCGAAAGCTCCTAGAAGTTCTCATAGGAATTTTATTATTGTGCTATGCATTGTGGAATATTATTAATACCGAAGATAAATCTATTGTACAATCGGAATTTGCATCTTTAATTGCCTGCCATGGACAAAAGGCAAAAGCAAAGGATCTTTGGGTAACTTGTAATTCCAAATGACCTGAATATATTTACTATGGTTGGCCTACAAGTCAGTTACAAAAGGTTTGAGGTATGCAACTGCTCTTCAGTCTTATAGGAATTCATATCAACTTTGTTATATTTATTATTATAATATAGCATTTGTAAATTCTAAACGCTGATTGGCTAAGAGCCGTGTTGATATAACTCCATGTCAACACGGGAAATTTTCCGCCGCTCGTAAACACGGAAATTTTTCTTATTCTTCGGGCTTTTGACATTGCTATATTATAAAACAAATATAAAATATTTTTTCCGTATTGATATATCGTTATATCAACACTCGTGGATGTTGGGAAAACTCGAAATTGTGTGAAAACACTCCGCCCTTCGGGCGTCGTGTTTCCACACAATTTCTCGTTTTCCCAATTTCCACTCGTGTTGATATAACTGTATATCAACACGGAAAATGTTTTATATTTGTTAAATATAATACAACATAATTATAAAACAAAAAGATAGCATCCTGGCACAGCTCTTATCAAATGGTAGTGGCCGTGTGGACTATGCAACGGAATTGCTAGAATTTGGGGGACCTATGCCAGAGTTGTCTGCTACGAAGCCTAATTGGTGTGTACTGTATGTGAAGTTTGCCAGTCCGTGCCAAAAGAAGAGGAGAACAAAATAATGTTGTGGCAAAATTACATGTGTGACATCCTTTGTGGGGCAAGGTATGATGACATCAGGGCCGTTGAAATTGACTATTTAATGCATGGACAGCTTAAAGAAAGAAGTCTATCGCCAGTGCATACTTTAGCGATACGTGGAAACAAGACCGGGGAAATAGAAAGGTATGTCAATCATGTGTGATAAATTATTAGCAACAAAACAGGTTTATCCAGCAGGGGATGGGTATAGCACATAGGTTTTCGACTAATGTAAATAGGACATTGTGGTGTGCATGTTTTTTCAAGATTATACAATTTACTGTCTTTTGCAGATGTATAACATGTTTTAGTATTAATACTGATTACCGCATTAATATAAGTGAAAGAGAAAACTATGTTTTAATAATTATCTGGTATACATTGACGTGAAAATGTATACTATGATTTATATACTCAATACAAGGAAACTGCATTTTAGTTTCAACTGCATTTTATTTAACAGCGCAAACAGAGCATGGTTAACCCATTGATTGGCATCACTCCCCCCTTAATTAGTCAAAGTGTCTAGTGCCATTTGACAGAGTTGAACAATACTGTAGGGAGCATCAGGGCACATTGCCACTTAAATGATTAAAAGGGTGGATAGCATAGCCTCCACCGTAGGCATCGCACTCATGGAATCGGATAGTCGAAAAGTTCTCTGGTCGAAAAGTGATAAATTAACACAAACATTTGCACTGCGTATACCAATCTCGTACCCATGCAATGCCTGTGCGCAGGCGAGGAAGGCATTGGCTCTGGGGAAATAGACAACCGGAACCCCCAACTTTCGGGGTTGTGGTTGTTGTCAGGATGTACTATTGATCAAATCCCAATTTATCTGACCGGAACAGGGTGGACTTTCGTCTACGCATGCGCAAGAAACGTAAGCGTGGAGTGCACATGAGCGCAAACGTGAGCGCGGGTTAATCGCGTGACTGAATTCTAAAAACAAGCACCAAATTTGCCAAAACTACTTGTGTTAAGCTTTGGATACACGAGCAATATTTTTGCTGAGACGGTTTATTATTATTATTATTATTATTATTATTATTATTATTATTATTATTATCCGAACCCGTCATCAATTTTGACCTTGAACCCCCAACATATCGCCAAGTTACAAATATAATTCGCCGAATGAAAGCATGTGCCTCACCTTGCCCGCTCGATCAACTTTCAATAATTTGCTTCAAACGATGTCCATTCCTTCGTACGTACTTGACAGAAGTAATACGTAGCGTTTGGTCTTCAAAATCTGTACCTGCCGAATGGAAAAAAGCATGCTCTGTACTTATTCACAAAAAGGGGAATACAAATGACCCTTCCAATTTCCGTCCTATTACTCTGGAATCCATACCCTTAAAAGTGTTTACCTCATGTCTTCGCAACGCCATGTTCTCCTTTCTAACGGCTAATAATTTCATTGAACAAAAGATTCAGAAAGGCTTCACTCCCAATTTGTCTGGAACTTTGGAACACACAGCTCAAATGACAAACATCATCAACCAAGCGAGAATAAAACAACGCTCTGTTGTCATCACCCTTCTTGACCTTAAAAACGCCTTTGGTGAAGTGCATCATAAACTCATTCAATCTGTTCTCGATTATCATCACATTCCTGAACAGATTAACGAAATTATCAAGAGCTTGTATACTGACTTCAACACCACAATTATAACTGCCGAATTCTCTACCCCATTCATAACTGTTGGCCGAGGTGTACTTCAAGGAGACTGTCTTAGTCCTTTACTTTTCAACATGTGTTTCAACACCTTTATTCAACACATTAAAGCTGATAAATACCGCCAATTTGGTTTCATGACCAAATTTTTAAATCCAATCCATTGGTTCCAGTTTGCTGACGATGCAGCCGTTATTAGCGGTCAAGAGAGCGAAAATCAGCACCTTTTAAATCGCTTCTCAATCTGGTGTCAGTGGTCAGACATGATTACTCGAGTCGACAAATGTAGTACATTTGGCATTAAGAAAAGTCTGACAAAATCAATCCAATACCTACCAAGACTCCTCATTGACAATAAATTAATACCGGCCACTAAAATAGGAGAGTCTTTCCGATACTTAGGAAAATATTTTGATTTCAATATGTCCGACAAAGATCACAAACAAGAACTAATCACCCTCCTTGAAGATATCATGTCAGAAATTGACCTCAAACCGCTACACCCAAAGAACAAAATTTTACTCTACAGTCGTTATCTCCTATCGAAATTCTCCTGGCATTTTACTGTCGCTACCTTATCAAAAACGTGGGTTTCTGAACACATGGACTCAGTAGTTAATAAATTCGTACGGAAATGGCTTGAAATACCCGTATCCGGAACTTTAAGTAATGTCTTCCTCACAAGTAATAAATTTGGACTAAATATATACCCTCCATCCGTCAAGTTCACTCAGTGCCAAACAGTCTCTCGTAAAGCCTTAAAAACCTCTCCAAATGATTGTATAAGAAATTTATGGAAATCAACTTGCGACAATACTAACATACAGTACGACGTCTACACCTCAACAAAGGAAGTTCTTAAAAGTTTCAAATCTGCACAAGAGGACAAGCTTCAAAATCATCTGCTTCTCCAAGGCTCCTTTTTCTCTAACATCACCAAGTTCTCGTTGTCTACACTAAACAACCTATGGTCCAAATCTCAATCCAGCTTGCCAAAAAGCATCTATAACTTCACCATCCGTTACATCAACAACACTCTTGCCACACGCAAAAACCTTACAAAATGGGGAATAATGTCAAACTCGGATTGTTCCCTCTGCCTCAACCCTGAAACCCTTCTGCACGTAGTCGCGGGATGCCAGTCATACCTTCCACGATTTACTTGGAGACATGACTCCATTCTCAATTTTATCGCAAAAATACTCCAACCTGACCACAACTCCACACTATTTGTTGATCTTCCTGGATACAAGAGCCCCTCAATAATAACCGGTGACACTTATCGCCCAGATCTGCTTCTTTCCATTTCAAATGATTTGTTTGTACATACTTGAACTCTCTGTCGGATATGAATCCAATCTCCAAAATAACGTTGCTCGCAAAAGGAAAAGATACAAGGATCTAATTACGGAGCAGAAAAACCATTTCGAAACAGTCAAATTTATTAATTTGTCTATTAGTGCCTTAGGTGTTTTCTCAAAAGAATGTAGCACGTTTATGAAAATGCTGAATTCGGTTGGTCTTGATAAAAAAACATCAGAACTCTTGTGTAAAGAAAATAATGTCCATCGCCATCAGAACAACGTACTATATATTTTGTTGTAGAAACAAGGATTGGAGCGATCCGGACTTGATTAACATTTAAGAATGAGCTTTCTGTTAGTTTTATACCTGTAATATAGTTTATCAATAATTAATAGTTCAAGTAGTCAATTATAAATTACCTTAATTAGTGAGATTTATAATTGTATATACATAAAATGTCAAAATAAAGTTTCCATTATTATTATTATTATTATTATTATTATTATTCTTATTATTATTATTATTATTATTATTATTATTATTGGGTTTTTTTAATTCAAAGTTTATCGATATGGGCGGTTTAGTTTAATTAACTTTTTAAAACCTTTTGGGAAGCGCACGTGCTGAATTTTACATTAAGTTGAACTTTATATTAAAGGGCATTGGCAATAAAAAATTAGTTTAGTTTGTTTGAAAGAAGTCTTAAAACTATATATTAAACTCTATTACAGATTTTTTATATCTTACTTAGTTTTCAAAATATTTCGACTGAAAAAAATGAGCTGCTCGCCATCTTGGATTATTGAGAATATGCATGTTACGTCAAGAGAGGGGTCACGCTAATTTTTATCTTGAGAGTAAGCTATCAATATGGATCCAAAAATTCGTTTCTGGTTGCTGTCTGAAATTTAGAAATAATTAAAAACATTTCAAACAATTTTGGAGTGTTATACTCGGGCATTTCAGAGTAGTTTTATATGCATGGTTAACCCAACTCCTAACTTCATCAAAATCATAGTTAATGAGGTGAAGCATTAGTCCAAGACGGCGGACAGCTCATTAATTTTGGTCTAAAATATTCAAGAACTAAGCAAGATATGACAAATCGTTCATGGAGCTTAATATATAATTTTAAGAGTTCTTTTGAATGAGACAAACTAATTTTATATTGCCAATGTCCTTCAAGGACATGAACATACCTAACGTATATATTTGAGAAATTGATAATTTTGTAATTTCAGGCCGTTTTTTTAATTCAAAAAATATATAAAAACAATTCAAATGATCGCGTTACCATGACAACCACTTCAAATTCTTCAAGTTTGGAAAATATAATGGTTTTTGTAGCAAGGCAAGGGGTTTCTGCATGGATGTATTTCTAGTTAACTGCATTTATTTAATTTTTGCACCAGAATTTTTAATCAGACCTACATCTCTGCAGGCGTCTCAACAAGTCGATCTCGCAGCTTCGCTATTCGCTGGTATGGGATCCATTTGTGGCAATTCTAAGGTTAACGATTCGTTAAAAATAATTTACTGCGAGACCTTTAATTTAATACATAAATTCTTTATTAAATATTAACATAAAGTAAGTTTTAAAATTTAAATGACCAATTTCCGTAACGATGTATCCACCAGGCTTAACAGGGTTCTCATGCAACCTCAAAAATGCCAATACTCTGGCCTTGAATGTCTTTAAATTCAAGTAGTCTGGGTATAGATTAAAAACAGAATTTCGACTTAAATTAAATTTGCATAACTCATAGTCACTCAGCCATTTAATCATGGATCACCCCAAATCCTCACGCATCATTACTTAACTGATATTGGGCATGAGGAAATTGATCTCAAGAATTTACAATGAAAAATTTAGGGAGAACTTTCTTTTTGAAGGTCATAGTGAAGGCATGTTTGTTTCCTTAACAATGTACGAGGCTTAATTATATTCAGAAGTGTACCTTATTAACCTTCCCATCTTCTCGCAATATAACAAAGCAAACGAGATAACTGGCAAGTTGATTAGTATATATTTTTGCACTCAAGCATTTCTGTTACGATAATTTATGATTTATCTACTCATATTATATTAATTTGCGTTTAAGACTTTATGATCCAAAAAACTTACCCCCATCCTGAAGAATACTGTTTTCTCAATTCGCCTATAAACACTTCAAAATAGTGATATTTTCCCACAGTTTTACCATGTTATATTTTTTAGTTGACGAGGAACTTCTTGTTTTGCGGGAAAAGATTGTGCAAGATTATAATGAAGTATCTATACGCTATTTATGCACTGGACGATCTGGGGAATACAACGTGTTGTTTTTTAAGCTGAATGACAAGTTTTACGAGATGGTGTCAAGAATAACTGAGATAAAACGCAGTCACATTTTTAACAAGTTATGGCAAAAATACAGTGAAAAATTGAAAAATGAAGTTGTAACAATGGAAGATATATTCAAAAAGATCTGGTCAATAATTCTTGACAAACTGAAGTTAATAAATCAGCAATTTCTTGATGGTGAAATGCAATTCAACGAAGTCGACATGTATTTAAATATGTGTAAGACGGACTACGACGCCTTGGAGGAGGAGTTCATGCTGCTTTCAAGATATTTCAGTGGTACCGCACATTTGGATGAGGTAACGAAGACACTTGCAGTCAGGATCAGAAAGGTGAAGAGATACAGGAAACTTTCTGATGCTCGGCAAGCTGCTCAGGCAATTCTAGATTTACAAAAAGTGACGGGTCTCAAAGGCGATTTTGCAGAAGTGGAAGCGATTAAAGAGGTTAGACTATACAGGGTGTCCAAAAAAACGCTATGGAAATCCAACAGGATGTTGTGCATCACAAACGTACCTAAACAATTCAATTCTTATACAAAACGAAAGAGCTATTATTTACCTTTCTTAATTCGTAACGATGAGAAGTGGCCACATACTCGTCAAATTAGAATTGTCGGTCGAAATCACATTCTTCCACTGTTGTGGATTGACAATTCATTAATTATGCAAAGTTAATCAATCCAAAAGCAACGCGAGCCTGCTGCAAGGTATTTGTTTCGCAAAACGTTTTGATTACGAATATTCTCTGCTCAGTGGTTAATTGAACCATGTTTAATGCAGTAGTGGACGATCTTATTGTCTCACTAAGACGAAGATTGACAAATTGAGCTCATTTTAGATAATTTAACATTCAACTTTAATTCCCTATTGGGAATTGTCTATGTTTCGTTTTCCATGCAATTCCCAACGGTGGAAGAATGTGATTTCGACCGGAAATTTTTATTTGACGAGTATGTGGCCATTTCTCATCGTTACGATTTAAAAAGATTATCATTGAAAAACTAAATAACTGTTCTTTCGTCATATGTAAAAATTGAAATGTTTAGCCGTGTTTATGATGCACGACAGCCTGTTGAATTTCCATACCGTTTTTTTGAGACACCCTGTATACCTTTTGTTGTATAACTGTTCCCACAACCCAAGGTTATCTTAACTTTGAACTCGTATACAGTAGCGTAATGTATTAACAAAGTTTAGAGTTTAGGTTCATGTTTTTGCTAATTAAAATCTTAGTTATTAATGAGTTACAACCTTAACTCGAAATCGAACCTGAAATCTAAAGCTTTCCATAAATTTGGAATACTACTCCCAAGTTGTTGCTGCAGGGAGAGGGACAAATCTGCACCCAACTCCAATACTTCTCTCACAATGCTGCCTCCTTCATTATTCAACTCTGTGCTATAGTCCTTTGGAAATCACATCCTATGACTTCATTGCTATTTGTTTGTCCCACTTATCCCGGAATATTAATTATGTGACATAGAGTGTCAGGGTGTGAGAGGGGCTATAGGGCATATGGGTGTTAGTGATGTCATGAAGTTGCGGCTTAGAAAAGTATAGGAGCTATGTGAATAATTATTAGGCAGCTTTACATGGGCTATCACTACTCACAATATATTACATTAAAGTTAACTCTTGCCCGTTATTTGTTAGTCTTACGTCATCAGTCCGATCATTCGTTAGTCGTACGCCATTCAGCAAATATTCTGCAAGGACCGAGTATACATTAATAAATCTCTGTTCGAGGTCTGATCAAGCAGGGTGTTTAGGATGAAATAACGTATGTGTTGCATTCATAGCCTGATGCATTAGCATTCTCAGGTGTTAATTAGCCAATACAACCGTTTACTGAATTTACAAAACTTCAGTGTTTTTTGGATGAGAAAACTAAATAATTCATTTACTCTTTAGGTTAGTTCGTAGGCATATTTTAAAGGCAAATGTTAGCAGCTTGCTTTCAAGTATATTACATGCAAATACTTCACAGTGACCTGATACATTTATTTACAAAATGGAAAAACGCGATTTAGATATTTTTTGGAGCAATTATGACTTGAAAACAGACAGTTTCTTACTTGTATAAAAGTTTTGAATAACTCCATCGATATGGCAACATTGACATTTCAACGTGGTGGATATGCATGTTAAGTTTAAAATTTTATTGATTTTATAAATTTCTATCATTTAAACAAAATTGATTCCAAACAATCAAATTTACCATGTTTGGAAAACTTTGGGTCGACAAAATGTTTTTAAATCATTATAATAATTCAATTTACTGAGGGAAGGCATTTTATGAAATGTCGACCTAAATTACTAAACAAAACCAACATGTGCTCCATATTGAAACCTCATTGTTGCCTTAGCAACAGTGTTTAAGTAACTTTGCAGGAAAATAACTTTTTAGTTGCTGTTTTATATAATTAAAATACTTATCCATAGTAAATTTCCAATTTTTGGACCAGAAACCGGTCCCCCAATCCCTACTACTCTTGTTGTTGTTGTTGTTGTTGTTGTTGTTGTTGTTGTTGTTGTTGTTGTTGTTGTTGTTGTTGTTGTGGTTGTTGTTGTTGTGGTTGTCGTCGTCGTCGTCGTCGTCGTCGTCGTCGCCGCCACCGCCGTCGTCGTCGTCATTGTTGGTGGTGATGGTGTTAGTGTTGGTGTTGGTTCATTAATATTCACAGACAAACCCCAATCATAACAAAGACAGTCATGGACCAGCGACTAATAATAATAATTATTAATATATAATTCAATCAAAATTTAATGGTTAGTTAGGGACTGGTACCTAATCTTGAGTTTTTGCGCGAAAATGTTAAAATATATGCAAAAATAAATACAACTTTTTCAGTCTAAAATCCGAACCACAAGTCATGTTTGTTCTCATTTATTTTGTTCTCAAAGAACACACTTCGTCCTGATTTAGCTCTGAACGTTGAATAACTAGTCTTTGTAAAAAGACTAGATTGGCAGGGCAAATCATCTGGATTGGCAGGGCAATGAAAGATTTTAAATGATAGAATGTAGAGTTATTAAGTAGCTTCCAGGGCTTTGTTTGAATGTAGAGTTATTAGGTAGCTTCCACTCATTTTTGAAAAAAACTCGAAAAACTGCGATATTTTCGGCTATTTAGTGTTACCATTATTCGTTATAGTTGTCATGGAAACGCGAATTTTATCAGAATTCTTCTTGTTTGCGACACGTCTTACTATGTGGTACAATTATAAGTAAAACTTAATCCTGTAAAAGCATTTAAACACAAAATATTCAACTTTTGCTCCTTTGGCTAAAAGTGTATTGAGCCACCTTAATTGTTTGCCCATAATATTATCCGCGGGAAAATGCACTAATTACATCAAAGGACATGTAATTTGCATGTATGAAGTAAGACATTAAAGCGAACGCTACCAATACAACACGGCTCCACTTCGACAACCATTTCATTGACCAGTGTAATTTCGTTCGATCATTTTAACATATTTAAAAAATGCCTTGCCGAACCAACATTAAGGGTTTGAAACAATGCAAACGTTTGAGTTCTAAGACAATGGATCAACGTGGTGACCAGTTCCTGGTCCAGTAGTATGATCGTACTTATTTTAAAAAGCTGTATCGATCCACCTTGATTTCTCTAGTACTTTTAAATTTCTCTCTGCGCCTGTGACGTTGCATGTAAGTCGCAGTCAACAAAAATTTATGCAAAACAAATAATATTTCCTTATTGTCTATTGGGATATAAGGCCCAACAACCCTGTTTGTCTTGAGAATTTGGTCTGTTGTTTTCTCCATTTGAGTTAGGGTTTATTATAGAAAGGCGATTGAAAGGGTTAAAATGAATTAAGCGGTTAAAACGTCTGCGAAAGGGAAAACACGTATGGGTCAGTAAATTGCACTTACAGTAATGCATGCAAATGATTTTGCTTGAATGTAATATAGAGTTATTAAATACCAACAATGAAATGGTGAATATCTGTAAGTATGCTCTATGAATGATGGTTTATGTATGTTATGTGTTTTTTCAGATTATCGGTGGGAAATTTGAAAGTCAGGCTATCAATTCAGTGAGTGACGATTGGCTTACAGCTGGAGAACTGTTAAAGGATATAAACCCGAAGAGGCGAAGTTGTTTGACAACATTTACAAAATGTTTTGATCTGGTAACTTGGTTAAGAGAGAGCATAAAAGGTAATGAGCCACTGCAGAATTAAGAAGAAACATTGACATTGTTACGGCCAAGACGGCGGCAAGTTATTTGTGTAAATAGTCTGAGTCGATACGTCTTGCATTCATTCAAATCAGTCTGTTGTCAAGTTGTTTGAACAGTCTATTGCATCATCATCTTTCTTGACATGTTCCTGACTAAGAAACCAGAGGAAAAAGCAATTACTTACATTCCAATTTTGGGGAATAAGTTTAGTTTATGTTTAAAATGAAATTTCGAGGATTGATGGATTGATGAATAAATATTTTCAACCTTTGACTCAATTTTTAAGATAAATTACACTTTCGAAATAAATTATTAAATTAATGACCTTTGATTAGCAATTTATATTATACATTAGATTGGTCTCAATTTCGATAACATTAGATAAGGAGGGGATGGAGTCTTCTCACTCAGTTTTGTTTCTGAAGTTGTCCAACTGCTCAGACAAAGTGCACCCAGTCTTGGTTTTTGATTTGGAATATTAGAATATATTGACATTGTTAGCAATTGACATATTATATTATTTTGAACTCCGTTCCAGATGAACAACAACTTAAAGTGTTTGTTGATTTGGCGATGATTTCAGCTGGGGAAGATGATATGGAAATTGACCGAATTTCGTGCATGCACACCAGTTGTCTTGGGTTTGGATCATTAATATTTCGTTACAGAACAGGTCATGGTTTTAATGAACTAATACGACTTTGTCAACCGTTATGGCAAGCCATTGATGCAAATCCAACCATTGATGAAAAATTGGTGAGCTGTTTTAATTGATTTGAAATGTATTTTTTGGTCTTTAATGAAACCCCAACCAACTGACCCTTGTAGAATCCAACATATTTATAACCTATTTTATACCTATTTTTTCTCTATTTAGCCCTATTTTTTCCGTATTTTTTCAAAAATATGACTATTTTATTACTATTTATCAATTTTCATAAAATAGTATTTGACTATTTACACTCTATTTAAAATATAGGTTATTTATATTTTTCAAAAAAGTAGCTTTGAAATAAGTATTCAAATCCTATTTGAAAGAGTAATTGACGGAATCTCACTATAAAATAGCTTTTAAATAGTTATTTAATTCCTATTGATGACAAACGAGTCAGTTAATATAGTTTTAAATAGCTATTTTTAAACTATTTTTGCTTATCTTCTTTGGAGCCATTCTTAACATAGTTATTAAATAGCAAAATAAATAGGTCATAAAAAGCTATTTAATTCCTATTCATAGAAAGTTGTGGCGAACTTTGCTCTAAGTAGCTATAAAATAGCTATTTTTAAACTATGTTTGCTTTTATTTTTGGAGCTATTATTGAATATTGTTAAAATAGTTATTAAATATTAGAGATTTTTAGCATAAGCATGCACTATTCTATTTTCTGGATGAACATATCAATTGGAAACAACAAATAAAACATGTCAATAATAAAATAGCTAAAAATATTGGAATTATAAATAAACTTCGACACTATTTAGACTTAAAAATGATAAAGCAATTATATTACACACTTATTTATCCTTATTTAATTTATGGAGTAATGAGTTGGGGAAATACATACAAGTCTAGTTTAACGAAAATTAGTACCAAACAAAATAAACTTTTATAGTTGCTATTTGTTATAAAATCCTATAAATAAACCGATTCAACAATAATTTTGCCTCGAATTTGCATATTCTATGCTGCATGTTTATATTTTATTTTTATAGTACAAAAATAAAATTGTAATAGTATGAAATAAAATACATTTCTGTTTATTGACCAGTACTTATTTAATGTCTTCTTCATCCAGTGGTCAGAGTAAATTTCTACTTCTTGCAAGTAAATATTTGACAAGCAGTCTGGAATAAGCACAGGAATAACCACAATAAGCCCATTTTATAGTAGCAATATGAAAAGTTTTTTCATTTTCCATGACTTTTAATGCATCAGCCAAATCCAAGTGTGCCCATCCCCCTAGCCCAGCCATTTTCCTGTAAAGCACATCCCGGGGGTTGGGCATTTCCACTCGAACCTTATGCACTTATTATCGGCTTCCCCGGGGGTCGACCCCTGGGACACCCCAGGGGGAACCCCCGGGAACAGGAGGGGATTCGTTGTCTTTTGTAAAAATAGTGTCCCTCGGGGAAGGAGAATTGTTTGGGTTTGGTAACAGGCACTGTTAACCCCCTGGATAAACCCGCGGGATTTTGTTTCACATATGGTCAGCGGTATCTAACATATATGTCCAATATAGATATAACCATCGGTTGTCAAGTGGTGAAGTATATTCATATTATATTTTTATTTATTACCTCGAACATGTCTTTCAAATGCATTGAAATATATTTAGCCAAATACTTTGAATTACGTTTCCCACATGAGAACCGTAATGTGAGATATAATATTATATTTTTATATACATAGTTGGCCACAGTATATGTAAGTAATAATAAAATATAGCAACGTAGTATAAGCATCCTACACCGAATGACACCCTTCGACCATCACACACCATCTGACAACTATCTGACAACCATCTGACACACTTCGACCATCATACACAATCTTCATCTGACAACCCTTCTCTGTATAATCACCCTACATCATCATACACCATCTGACAACCATCTGACACACTTCGACCATCATACACCATCTTCACCATCAGACATCAGATATCGATGCCTGTATTGGACATTACTCTTATCTAAGAATCATTGAGTTTGAATAGTATAAACTTCATCTTACCCTACTTATTTATAATTCAGCGCATGCGCAAATAAATTCTTTCAAGCGTGCATGCTTTACATGCTTGAACCTGACATTTTTGGACGGTTATTTTAAAATTGTTTACTTTTCAGCTGTATTTTGTATCCAGTTCACCAGTTATATAATATTTTGTTTTTGTTAGGGATGTTATGTTTGCTTTTTTGCCCTGGGGGTAGGGGGCTGTAACATGATTTTTGTCATTAAACTTTCCCCTGTACCCAGGGGCTTTGTTAATGTTTTGTTCCATCCTCTTTACAAAAGCCCCTGGGTGGTTCGGGGGTCGACCCCCCGGAAAGCCGATGATAAGTGCATTAGCCCCGGCGGGGCTTTTGAAATTAAGGATTTGGAGGTTTTGCAATCACTGATAACTTGATAATAATATAAACCGGTCAAGTTGTAGTTTCAATATCTGAGAATAATTCATGGGTGTGCGGAAATACCAGATTTATTTCGAGTGTTGAACATGATATCTCACAAGTGAGCGCAGCGAACGGGTGAGATGTCATGTTCAACACGAAAAATAAATCTGGTATTTCCAACCACCCATGTATTTTTCTGTTTATTATATAAAGGACAGTCTTTGAAAAGCGATAATTTTTACAGAAAAGCGATAATTGAAAAGCGATAATTTTCACATGTGAGATTATCATGAATAATTTCACATGTGTGAGATTATCATTTTTATCAGTGCTCGAAATCTCTATAAAACACTATACATTATAATAAAAATTCATAAATTTGAACCACGCTAGAGCATGACAACAGCAAAATGCTTTAGAGTATGATGCACAATATTTTGGGAGGTGAAATACATGAACAATAAATCAGAGAGTGTTTACTTGAAACTCACTGGGGGGGGGGGCAACACCCCTGATAATTGTTCATGAGGAATTTCAGGTAGATTTCCAGTGCACTTTTAGGTAAATTTAAGTAGATTTGCAGAAGATTTTCAGGGGAATTCAGGTAATTCTCAGGACATGAGAAAGTGAATTTGGAAAACAACTGTATTTTCGGAAAAATTATTATATGTCCTGAAAATTTTTTGTACATCTGGAAACATTTTGGTCCCCCCCCCCCCCTTCTATCTAACCTCACACACACCCTGAGACGAAGTGCTCGCAACGGCACTGAGTATACATCTTTTGAAAACAGGCGAGGGGTTATTGCATGCATGTATTTCTAGTTCTATTTCATATTTAATTTATATTAGTTTTTAGATTGTAATTTGTGTGACGCCCCTCATGAAAATTATCCATGGGTGATGAGGGAAGCGTGGTTAAATAAAGTTTTACTATACGCTACTATATACACCGATTTCGAGCAACAACCAGCCAATCAACGCCGCGATAGCGACTGTTTACAATATTTGAAATTTGATATCTTAATTTGCTAAACTCTTTCGATGATTCGATCGTATACTATCGAATAAATTTTTGCAAATTTCAATATCAGATTACAAATATTGTAAACAGTCACTATCGCGGCATTGGTTGGCTGGAATTGTTGCTGGAAATCGGTGTTTGTTATGTTTGGTAGTAATTATCGGGCTTTCTAAGTTCCATAGATTTTTGGGTTTCGAAACAGTTTTGCTAAAAATCCATTCCAAAATTATAGGACATTGGCTTGTATGTTCGAAGATGGGAGCTCATTCTATACGCTGGCGAATTTTACCAAGAACAAAGCAATTTAAAGGGGATATTTTTCAAGTTGAAGTGTTCCTGTCGCCGGTTTGAGAACGAGAATCGTTAGCCTTTGCTTTCATTCCTATCACCTATGATGACAGTCGCAGGCATAGAGTGTAAAGTCGCCCAGATATAAAAGACGATCACGTACAATCAAAGTAGGCAGTAAATATCACTGCATGAAAAGCGACGTATTCCGACGTATTCACATGTCTATACGGTTAGAAGAAAACGCATATTGCAACAGTATTCTGACGTGGAATATTAGTGTGAATACGGCATAGTATTGCAAAGTATTCCAAGCGTGAATATGCTGTGAATATGACACATATTCTACCTAATATTCACACTTGGAATATTATAATCTCATCTCATACGTATTTCCACATAGTTTCTAAAGTTAAGCATTCCTTTGAATGCTTCAGATTGAAAGTGGAATAGATAACAACATAATAAGTGAGGGTCCTGAAGGGGGGGTCCCAATCCCATTTCCCACCTGAAATTTTGGCAAAATCCCAGTCCCAGTTGGATTTTTATTAGAAATCCCAGTCCCAGTTATTGAAATCTCAGTCAATAAAAACTCCTTTATTTATCGGTAGAATAAACAGTTTTAAGACCTTTTAAGCAAGTGGCGGACACTTTAGGAAATATGGGCGGGGGGCTCGTGCCGAAGGCACGGAAAATGTTTAAATTTGAATCCCGGAAATGGCATTTGCAGCATTCTGATGCAGAAATCCCAGAATTCCGGGCGCCAGAGTATGCCTGTTTGCAGGTAGTGCTGTGAATAATATAGTTAACAAAAAAAAGCATGACCAAAGACACCAAAAACGGATCAAAATTGTATTTTAAAATACTGGCTCAAAACGTTGAGAAATTGGGAGTCGACTCGCATTACCTCAATCCCATTCCCATTTCTGAGGACTTCATTTCCCATTCCCAGTGGCCAAATCCCAGTCCCAGCAACCCAAATCCCATTTTCCCAGTCTAAAAATAGATCAATCCCAGTTCCCATTTTACCCCTTCAGGGCCCTCATAAGTGAATCCCAACTGCAATTTATGATGGAATTTGATGATTCATGATGTCTGTAAACAAATTTCAGGTATTAGAATTATTATTAGTTATTATGTTTAGCCAATAGCTAGGTAAAATACTTGAAAATTCCCTGGATATTTCCATATCAAAAACCATAACAAATTGGATATTTCCATATCAAAAACCAAACAGATTGATACCGCAAGGCGCACAGAAGAAGTCGTAGAAAAAAATTATATTATAGTACTATCTATTCCTTTTGTTATCTCGCGCATCTATTGCATGGATACCGTAATTTCATACT